TGTAATTGTTTTTTTTTCGCTAAACTTTTTACGCCAGAAAATTTGTCTGCAATCGAAACATATTCTTTGCTCAATAGACTTGATGAGTTGAGCGAAAATCTTAAGGATTTAATATGTTTCAAGCTTGGAATATCTTATCTGAGGATAAAATCGGTTCGATTACAGTTTCACAGTACTTATCTAATAGCCACAGTCAAAATTACTGAAAGGTTCAATTTCGTTGGTAAGTTTATTGCTAAGGCTATTGTCGAGTTCAACACAATTAATCATTTTATTTGTCTTTTTTATGTTGAGACTTACTGATTTATCGAAAGCTTGACCTATCAGGATTTTTACATTTTCTTTACTCACAAACTCGCTTGGAACTTGAAGCCATGAAAAGCAATGTCAGGTAAGATCGTCTTGTATTTGGTCATTCATTCTCAAGTTTATTTCTACTTTACGTCTAATTCAATTTTATTGATTTTTAGTAAAATCATCAGCTGCAATGACATTAGCTTCGGATGCATTGGAATAACGCTTGATCAGCCTTTGCCTGAGCAAAATGAAGATACATCAAACGCTGTTATATACAACAATTTGGATAAAGTATTGTATAAACTTGTTCAAGAGCCATCATTAAGAGAACTGAAAATGTCATACAAACATCTAAATCAAACAACGCTTTCCAGTGCTGAACTAAACTTTGACCTACATCCAATCGAATCAAATGATAGCCATTCACCAATTGATTCTGATTCGTTCAATGTGAAAATTTATTGTAGAAATTGTTTAGGCAACTGTATCTTTTACTGATTGTCGCCCTCGTTTGCGTCGTCATTGGCTTCGCTGCAATTGCGTGCAAATTATATCGACGAAACGTTCGAATCAGCTCATCTCCGTCAATTTCACTGACAGTTTTGAAAGATTCATAAGATTATAACATTATCAGTATAAATTGTGACCTTAAAATACTTATTTGAATCTAAAGACTCTGAATTTTTAACAAATTTAAATGAAAGTATTAAAAATTCTTATTGTTTCTGTATTCTCTTCAAGTTTATTACTACGATCATGGCTGGTCGTAAATTTCTTTCTACTGAATACAATAAATTCAATCCACATTTAAAGACTCGAATGGTCGATGTAAAATCATTGTCAATGAGAAAATTTTTTCATTCTAATGAACAGATTGTCATTATTTTTACACAGAAATAAAGAAAGATGCTTCGCATTAGTTCAACATCAAATCAACTGCATCTGGTCAAATTTATACATCGACTATCGATGCTTGTTTACGTTTTCAAACTCATAATGTCAATATAAGGTCAGTTGGCTTTTCACGATAAATCATGGAGAGTAAATATCGAAACAAATTGGACAATATCCATGCCTTGGAATTTCTGATGGAGTTTTATAACCAGATGAAGATGAAAATGGATTGAGCTGTATGCTGTTTAAAAATTCAGATCATAGTTTAACTAAACTATTGGCAGATGTTTCTTCGGAAGAAATAAGAAAATCTTATTTCAATTTGAATGGAAGCCAATTCAACTATTCCGCTACTGAATTTGCTGTTATTGATGTTACAATTGAAAAGCGAAAATCGAACTCTATTTTCATATTTTTCTTATATTTTCCATATACATCAATTATGACGAATGCATTAGGCTACAAAATGTCCCAACGCCGAACTAATTCTCTTAATGATTGGGTTTCGCTTCCATTTTATCAAACATTCATCATATTTTGAAAATACATTGTATCATTATCTTGCTTACTTCTCTAATAAAAATTTATTATAATGATCACACTAAGCAGTGTAAGTCACTTGATTTCTTGTATTCGGTCAATGCATAAGCCTAAATTGAAGCTCCAAGAGCAGTCTCTTTTGAGCAAAATTATTGCTGATGCCGATTTATAGACATTCAATTGTGATTGCTCACAACAAAAATTTGCTGAAAAGAATCAAGTTTTGCAATTGCTAAAGTAATTACAAAATCTAATATCAAATAACATTGGCTCAACTTGATAAATAATGGATTATTATAATACAAGTGGAGCCCACGATCATGACTGATCGTAAATTTCTTTTCTCTGCACAAACTCAACTGAATATTTAAAGACTCAAATTCTTGATTAAAACCATCGTCAATTTGAAAAACTAAATCAGATAAAATTATGTTTCACAGCTAAATCAAATAGTTTGCGCTTTGAATTTGCATTTCATCCAAAACTTATCCTCTTCATGATTGGGTTTCACGCAAATTACTGGAATAAAGCACTCAAACTCAAACTCTTATGGCATTAAAGTTCATCAAGCCGCAACTCTTAACTCGAAATTCAAAATTGAAACACTCATAAATCATCCAATAGTAAAGCATAATTTTACTAAACTAAGAAATATTTATGTCGTCACAATTTTTCTGATTAGAATTTATTTTTACTCTACCTGAACATAATTTTTTTAGGAATTTGCGTTCCTATGAAGACCAAATTTGACTTTTGAAAGCGATTATATCAAATACCTTGATCAAATCAGAGAAATCTTTTAATTACCCGATTGGTTACGGCTCGATTGCTAAAAGTTCATCAAGCCGCGATTCGTAACTCGAAAGTCAAAGCTGAGACACATTTAACCATCAAACAGTAAACATAAAATTCATTCAATCAAAAAATATCTGCTTTCTCAATGTTTTTGAATACTGTTTTTCCACTGCCACCCTGAACAGGATTTTTTTAGAAATCTCAGTTTATTACACGAAGCGTGCTAATTCTTGTAATAATTCTAACTCTTATTGTGATGAAATTTTATCAAATCACAACTTTTAACTCGAAATTCAAAGTTAAGAAACTTATTCACCATCCATCATCTGAATAGTGTTGCTTTTCAGACCACCTGAACATGAGTCTCTCATCATTCTGAGTTCCTATGAAGATGAAATTTAAACTTTGATCTCTTTTTGAAGGGACTGTAATTTTTCCATCACTCTTTTTCAGCATTTTTCACCGTCTTTTCGCCGTACTGTACATAACCATTCAAGTTTGACCATTGAGAGCAGTAACATTCAATATCTTAACCAAAGCCCCGAAATCATGACATAACCGCAATGGTTACAGTTTGTATGCTAAAATAACGTAAAATCTCAACTTTTAACTCTAAATTCTAAATTCCTATGAAGACCAAGTTTGGCTTTTGAAAGCGATTACATCAAATAGCTTCAACAAATCGGAGAAAACTTTTCATTACCCGAATGGTTACGGCTTGTATGCTAAAAGTTCATCAAGCCGCAGCTCTTAACCTGAAATTCAAAGTCGAGACACTTATAAATCAACCAACAGTAAACCATAACTTCAAGAAATAATCTGTTTTCTATCCTCCATAATATTTCTGAATAGGATTGTTTTTCACACCACCTGAACAATATTTTCTAATATATCTGAGTTCCAACAAAGATCCAATATTTTTGTTTCTATGATCAACCATATCAGCATTGCGTGATAAACTTTTCTAGCACGTTCTGTTTCTATCAATATTGTAGATAATACGGTGAAAAAATTGGGGTGAAAAGCTGGCCCATTTTTACAGCTGAAAAATTTTCGTTCATGTTGAGAGTTGAACATTTGTTGATTCTTTGCTCACTTAAAATGTTTCTCTGATGCAATTCTTCACTCGCAAAACATATCGCTCTGCACATATCCTTCAAATCGTTTACCCCTATGGTTACAGTTTGTATGCTAAAAGTTCAATAAATCACAACTTTTAACTCGAAAGTTCAGACACTTACAAATTATCCAAAAGTGAACCATGAGTCATCAAACTAAAAAATATTTGCTGTCATCCACAACGCACTCGAATACAGGTGATCTACAGCCATTCCAAGCGTGCTAATTCGTACGCGTATTATCAAACACCTTCGATCAGACATTTTTTAATAACACGAAGCGTGCTAGCTCGCGCAAAAACTCTAACTTTTATGGTACTGAAAGCTCATAAAATCACAACTCTCAAAGCGAAATTCAAAGTTAAGACAAACTCTCACTAAATCGTCTAACAGTAAAGCATAATTTTATTAAACAAATATTTCTGTCTTTACAATTTTTTGATTAGAATTTATTTTTACTCTACCTGAACATAATTTTTTTAGAAATTTGCGTTCCTATGAAGACCAAGTTTGACTTTTGAAAGCGATTACATCAAATGCTTTAATCAAATCGGGGAAATCTTTTAATTACTCGATTGGCTACGGCTCGTATGCTAAAAGTTCATCAAGCCGCTACTCTTAACTCGGAAGTCAAGGCTGAGACACATTTAATCATCAAAAAGCCAACAGAAAATTCATTAAATCAAAAAATTTTTGCTTTCTCAATGCTTTTGAATACTGTTTTTTTACTGCCACCCTGAACAGCATTTTCTTAGAAATCTGAGTTTCCTAGAAATTTTACACTTTTAAAGGGATTTCATCAAACACCTTGTATTAGAGGAATTCTTTTATTACACGAAGCGTGCTAATTCGTGTAATAACTCTAGCTCTTATTTTACCGAAAGTTTATCAAATCACAACTTTCAACTCGAAATTCAAAGTTAAGAAACTTATTCATCATCTGAATAGTGTTGCTTTTCAGACCACCTGAACATTCCTACTTCCGAAGTGAGACACATATAAATCATTAAACAGTAATCAGTAACTTCATCAAGTTAAAAAGTATTTGCTGTCTTCCACAATGTCTTTTTTCACTGCCACCCTAAACAGGATTTTCTCAGGAATCTGAGTTTCTAGAAAGCTTAGGGTTTTACTTTTG